AACATCGCTCCTGCGGTATTGAGACATTAATTCAGTCACTATGTGCTGTCATTACCAGTGTGCCGAGAACTGAAATGTGTATGATGAATAGACAAGCTGTGAACATTTTAATCAATGATGGAGTTTGTATAAATAGAAGAATGGCGTGGGAAAGAGGTTATGGCAGAATGCTGTATTGTGTATAGATAAATACGCTGTACAGATCTGATAGTGTTATTGAAGTGAGATTTTTGCGAGCCTATTGTCTGGCAGCAGTTTTAAGTTTGAGAAACGAGGCAAAAATAAGACATGTCACAGCTTTGTGATGGAGACTGGAAGTGAGAGAAGTGAGGGAAGAATAAAAGTGTAAAAAAACAACAGTTTATTCATGCGTGAAAGAGCGCATGTTGCATGAATTTGCTTGCCTGATACACACTGTATGATGCAATTTGGGTGAAATCGAAGGAGTGCTGCTTTCATAGGAGGTGTTTCGGTTGACAGGGCATGCACCAAGGAGCTGTCCAAACTCATCGGACAACTAAGACATGACATTTGTGCTTAAAAGACGGATGGTTGATCCTGCATTTTAATACATGGCATGAACTTTGGGATATGTAAGGCAAAAATGACATTAATATTTACATGGGAAAGTTATGTGTATTCAGAATCGGCTTATGCAGGTACTTACGTTGATTTTCTGGGCTCTCCATTCAGATTATGCAAATGATCTGTGTGTAGTGTATGCCTCTGAGGTTGCCAGATTTTTCTTGAGTAAAAGAGACAGGCTAGACCAAGCATTTAAGAAAAAAGCTTTACCTTTTTTGCTGTCAAATGTAATAAGATGTAACATAAAAGCAGAAGGCAATTTAGTTTTAGTCTGGACATTAAAAAAGGAGATTGAGGAGATCCAAAATGATTGAAAGATCATGACACTTTCACCAACATGGTCTCACACTTTTGGAAGAACTTCTCAACAGTTGGCAAAATGGAGGATTAAGGGCTTTGCTCAAGTGTGCTGGCTTGACAGGGCAGGGATTTAAACCAATCATCAGTCAGGAACCTTCCCCAATGTGCCAAAGCACTGCCCTAGCTAATTATAAATTGTATAAAATGATACAAGGGTTAAGGTTAGGGTTAATCATGGTGTTCCCATTTGTATCTTTTCTTACCACTTCATTTGTTGAAATCTAATGGACTCATTTGGTGGTTTGAATTCAGATGAAAAAGCAATTTCATCTAGTGATTTATAATAGTTGAAGTGCTTGATATTGGCAATTTGAATTTGGGTGATAAGAAGTAAGAACATTATCATCAACATTCTACAATGCTAAATAAGCTTTTTACTTGTACTGAGAGGTTGCAATTAAAAAAAGGTGAAAGTGAAGTGAGGAGAAGGCAGTGATAAGGCAATAAGATAAGATAAGATGAGTTGAAATAAGATAAGATCATTGGGATAAAGTCTTTCAGGATCCTGAGCCTGAATCACAACACCTTTTTACAGTATATACCTTTTTGTTTTCTTTTTTTTTTTTTTTTTCAGTCCACTGACCTCAACAGTCCACCCTGCTTTGTGTCTATGTACCAATAGCAGTGTCAGGACAGAGGAACCAGGTCCAGCAATTAATCAGTAAATATTGGCTCTTTTTCCTAAAAATCAAATCCCAAGTCAAGAGGCAAATCCTAAACTCAGATTATGTTTGAAGCTGAGTTTAATATTTAATCATTTAAGAAATGTAGAAAGTGTAGTTAAACTAGCAATTTTGCTATTTGTACTGAAACACTGCCAACATATCATTTAAATACAACAATCAGTTAGAATTGACACTTAGAAATGATAATTAGACAACCTTGAAGTTAATTTGGTGTTGCCTAGCCAGCTGTGGTTTGTTGCACCTCCATCTGTGATCTTCACCCAACAGTTTGCATATCACAATTTTTTTCTTGTTTTTGTTTTTGATAACTGCATAACCTCTGTAATTGATGTTCACCATCATTGGGAGATTATTCCCAGCCAGATTTCATATAAATAATGCCGCACTCCCTTTGTGTTCCGTGTGGAGAAGACTCGAGGCTTTTCAAGTTAGCAGCACAAGTGTAAGTCAAGGCCACTGTGGATAAAGCTGAAGTCTTTAACCAGTTAGCTTGGTTGGTTGGTTGGTAGGTAGGTAGGTTTACCTACTTGTTTAGTTTGTTTTAAAAATTATGTTTTAAAAATCATTTATTTTAAAAAGTAAAAAGTACAAAAAAGTTTTTAAAAAAAACAAAAGCATGTAAAAATGTAAGTTAAAAAATAACAATATAAATGCAAAAGTAAAAAAAATAAATAAAACAAACAAAAGTAAGTAAAAATGTAAGTTAAAAAATAACAAGTAAAAATAAATGCAAAAGTAAAAAAAAATAAATAAAACAAACAAAAGTAAGTAAAAATGTAAGTAAAATAGTAAGTAAATAGTTAAAAAAAGCAATAAAAAAGTAAGTGAAAAAGTACAAAAGTAAAAAACGTAAGTCAAAAGGTAAGAAAAAAAGTAAATACAAAAGTAAAAAATAAAAAAGCAAAATGTAAGAAAAGTAAAAAAGTAATTACAAAAGTAAAAGTATTTTTACAGTGAAAAATCAAGAAAGAAAGAAACATTAGATTTTTTTAACCAATTTTATCGGTTTCACAGAGAACTTAAAATTCCCAACATAAATGTTAGCATTATGTGGAAGGACCTTTATAGTAGGAAATGATTAGTGCATTTATTTTAGCAACAAGAAACATTATTAGAGAATTATGGACTGAAAGTGTCTTTAGGGAACCATAATGGTTCTTTTATGACATTGTTCCAAAGTGATTCGACTCTGAATCGACTCAGCTGCAGGAAGTGAATCAATCACAAGGATCAAACGGAGACAAAGGACAGAGCTGTAGAGCTACAGAAACGATGTGTGTTCTTGAGATTTGGACCGATTAACAAAAACAGAAAATGTGATATGCAAAATTTTAAAGCTAGTTATTTATATAAGTACGAAATCATTGATTTAGCACTGGCTCTGTGTTCTGCATAGTGATTTTTGTGCAATATTTTGTGATATGCACACTTGGCTACACAAGGTCTATGCAATTCATGTTTTTCAAAATCCCTCGTTTTGTGCTTTGTTTAATTATATGCAGTGTGAAACCAAACCAAATGAACTGAAAGCATCAGTTTTGCTCAGGACTCAGACAAGCTGGCTAATAGGTGTGAAAGACCCCTTAAAGAACCTTTTCTGACACCTTTATGATTGAGATTGTATGGAATTTGATGGTCTGTGAAATTCCAGACACGCTGTTGCTAATCATGAATGCGAAATGGAGCGATTTGATCTTTCCTGTGCTCCTGAACTCATCTCTGCACTACAGCTGCAATGCCTCATCCTCCTGAGCTCCCCATGACGCTCGCTTTTAGATCAAACAATCCTCCATATCAACAGTTCTCACGTCTGCGCCGTATATTTTTTAGAGTCTAATTTTAGCAAAGCTACCTTTTCACTTACAGCTTCCCAGCAGGCTGCTTCAGTACAGTCAGGTTCCTTGTATTTCTTTGTGGGGTAGTCAGAAAAAGGCTGGGGTAACCCCTCTCATGCTCCTTTTTTCTCACATCTTTTTTTTTCCTTCGCCCCACAGCTCGAGCTGGTGGAGGCATAATCGGCTCCCAGAGGGCCAGATGAAACACGCTCCCCACCGCTGCCTGTTTACTGAGGAGTGCGTTTGAAGTCGAGCTCAAGATGTCTTCATTTCAGCACCAGACGCTCCAAAGCAGAATTGCGGCTCACAAAGGCGGATATGGAGAAAAGATGTGGGCAGAAGAGCAGAAAATAAAAAAGAAAATCAACCAGTGTCTTAGAAATGGTGTAAGTTGCTAATGAGCATGCACGTTTTTAAGATTATGCGCAAACTATTTGAGCATGGTTATCAATAATTCAGCGCACAGCTCATTTAATATTCTGTATTTATCTCCCATTATCAAGACACTAGTTTAAAAACATCAGCAGTGTTGCTTTGATATTTAAATGACTAATTATCACTTTTTTTTAACAGGTTGGAGGTATACCGAGCTAGTAACTCAGTGTATGTTAGCATACTATAGCAGCTAATAACGTCATGTCATGTTAGAAACACAAAAAAATGGAATAATCAGGCAATGGTAGCTAGCCAGTCCATTTAGCTAGCAAAGCAGAGGACCTGAATGAAACCCAGCACAAGAAAAGTTTTATTCAAAACAACATGTTTAGAATTTAAACGTGTAAGTGTTGATGTGGTGACGTTTTCCGAGAGGAGAAGTTTATTTAACATTTTTTGGAAGGAGTCTCCAATGTCAGTGCTTTGTAACTGAATGGACGTCGTGCGATTTCTTGGTAAGATGACAAGCTGCGTTTTTTTTTCCTTTGTATTATTAACTGCAAGAGAAAGAAAAAAGAGAGGCTGATTGTTTATTATAACTGTTTGTTATAACGTAAGTGATAACAGGAATTAAATTGTTTCATGGACATTCCACAGCATGTAGCACCGTATAAATGAGTTAAAAACATTTAACGTTTTATTCTTTAATAAATGAAGTGAATGAATAGTTAGAATTGGTAAATTTCTGTGGTATAAGAGGAATCAAACACTTTGTTATGTGCTGTTATTAGAGTATAATCAACTTTGTAATAGTAACACTAATCACACTGGCCCATCGTTGACCATTTTCCTATAACAGCATGCCCCCAAGTGTTTTATTCTTTACTTATGAGCTATTATATTTGTCAGATTCTCAAGTCTCTGATAGTTTTTTAGGTGTTTAATGTAGACATGGTTTGCAGGGAAGGGTGTTGTTGCTGTTCCTCTTTCGGCTGCTCCCGTTAGGGGTCGCCACCATGGATTGTTGGTCCGTGTATTTTGATTTGGCACAGTTTTTACACCAGATGCCCTACCTGATGCAACCCTCCCCAATTTTATCCAGGCTTGGGACCGGCACTGAGAGCACACTGTTGCATGCAACCCCAGTGGCTGGGGTTGGTTCCCTGGCCAGGAATCGAACCTGGGCCGCTGCGCTGAGAGCGCTGTGGCCTAACCACTAGTCCTCCAGGGACTTTGCAGGGAACGGTGTTACTTAACAAAATAGTGACTCTATCATTGATTTCACATAAAAGGCTCCGAAAGTAGCTTAATGTTTTAAACGATCCCGTATATAAAACTTTTTATATTTTAAATTTCGTTTCTATTTATATTAAGAGTTCTGGGGGGAAAAATCATACTATATAGAAGCCTATATCATTGAGAAGTAACAACTCTATGAAGTGCTTCAGTATTGGCCTTTTGTTCTTCAGCTGAGCAACTGCTTATCAGGCCACGTACAACGAGCATTGATTCCCATTACTCCGTCCTGTTATTGCTGAAAGCAGAGTTTATTGCCAACTACTTAAATCAGTAGATTTACAATGTTGAATTAGAGCCAATTAAGGATCGAGTCAGTTCAGGACAGCCAGCGGTGGAAAACAGAATTTCGTTCATGATGTCCAGGGTTTTCATTAGCTCTACGCAATATGAGCTTAGGCAGAAGGAGTTTTACAGAAACGTAAGAGATTGGACGATTGACTGCTCCTTTTTGTTCCATATAAATCCGACTAGGCATTTGACTAGACACTGGGGTGAGAATGTACTGGAAGCACTTGCTCTGGCCAACTTTCCAAAAGCCCATGGTATCTTAATAAAGGACACATTTTAACAAGCATGTTAAGGATTTTACCAAAAGGTACGTCATATCATTGCGTGAAAAATGACAGATAATGCATAAACCAGCGTCCATCCAACTTCACTGAAGTCCATCACATGTCAAGATGAGACATTCTGTGATTGGACGATACATGCCATGACTTTAGTATTGAGTAGCAAGAGGAGAAAAGGGTCATGACTGTGTGTGTGTGTGTGTGTGTGTGTGTGTGTGTGTGTGTTCGTGCTTCGGCCATCTCTGACAGACATGATCGCAACCCTCACTAGACATTCTGACAGTGCAGAATAGCCTGTGATTAGAGATGCTCAGTAAAAGAGAGGGAGAGGGAGTGAGAGAAAGAGGTGGAATACATGAAGAAGGAATGAAAGAACCAGTCAAGCTGTCAGCCAAGTCGTAAAATAGCTTGCACTATGCTGAAGGACACTGTTCAACCTCAGCTGCCAGCCTGGTTTCAGCCCTCGTTTTGAATCTCTCACACACTTTTTTGACACATCATACACTACTTTTTAATCCTTGCAACCTTTCAAAGATGTCAGTCCAAACTTTGTGTGTTTGATTAAATAGTTTTACAGGAATGAAGCGTCTGGTTTTTTAATAAAAAATAAGGTCTCTCTTTTACTTTCTTCCTAGTTAGTTATAGCGATGGGTTTCTTTCGAGGAGAAATGTAATGTGTGTGTCCTTTGGCTGGTTGTGAGATTAGATGGGAGGCTAAAATCTAATATCTATTGATAGCTTGACAATGAAACTATTAGGGTTGAGCAATGAGTTCTATCACAAGGTCTCATCGATTGCATAATAAGAATGATGTGGAGCAAAATATTACACACATTATACAATATTAAGCCAGAAATGACATTGGTGAGGAAAATCTTTCTGTGATTACTTGTAGAAATCTTTGAAAAGGAACCAGATTCAAAAGCGTCCTCTTCTGGGTGAAGCCAGGTAATAGTGGGATTATATCATTATCATTACTGTATACAGGTATAGATGAGTTTCAATGGGCCTGATGTGGGCCAAGAAAACATTCCCCACACCATTACACCACCACCACCAGGATGAACTGTAGAAATCAGAAACCAGGCAATGTTTTTCCAATCCAATGTCCAGTTATGGTTCCCAATGTAGCCTTAGATTCCTGTTCTGGGCCTACAGGAGTGAAACCTGATGTGATCTTCTGCTATTGTAGCTCATCTGCCTCAAGCCTTGACATGTGACATGCTTTTCTGCTCACCATAGATGTAAAGAGTGGTTATTTGAGTTATCGTAGCCTTCTTGTCAGCTCAAACCAGTCTGGCTATTCATCTCAGACCTCATTCATCAACAAGGTGTTTCCACTTGCAGATGTTTTTTTGGTTTTCATACCATTTTGTGCAAACTCTAGAGACTGTTGGGTGAAAATCACAGGAGATCAGCAGTTTCTGAAATACTCAAACTAGCCACCAACAACCATGAACATTAACTAAAGCACTCAACCTGTATCTCGAACCTTAAGTTTCACGTCTTTCCACGCACTCAAGTAGTGCAAATTGCCGCATGTTTTTTTTTTAAACGTGTAAACGTGTTGGTTGAAATTATTATTGTTGTATGCAGGGATGGAGGCGTTTCCAATTTCATATTCATGCAATCTGAATTTCTTGAAGAGTACAAAAGTGTAGGAGCTTCTCTGCTTTTGTCTGCTGTCTAGTGACATGTTCTGTGGAGGCGCCACATCAAGTAATGTATTACTCATTTTAGGATAAAAAAAAAAGCCTTCAAAATGACTGTTAATACTTTCTCATTAGAGTGATGAATGCTTCGTTTCATAATCAAAGTTATACTTTTTTGGACTAATAGTTAGTCATCGTCCCAGCGTATATCATATCCAAGCTCCAGCAAGTAAAATATTAGTCTGATAGCTAGAGTTCCAAACAGAACCTCTTGAACTTTTTTGACTTCCATGTATGCTCTCATGTTGCTTTCTCATGGATTGAGGCTATTGAATCAGCTCGAGATCCTCTTTCGATCAGTCTCTGTTTTCAACAAAGCATGAAAACGTGCTGAAAGGATGAGACGTCTGCACGAATCAGTTGCACATCTTCCCTATCCCTTGATGCATACTATTGCTCATCTGACGCCAGTAAGATTAAATATCTTATTTCATTTATCAAAATATTTTCCGTTTTGCTTGCATCAATTTAAGCATATTAGCGCATATGTCATGTAGAGAGCATGTGTAGAATTTAACCCTGTTAGCAGGTCTAGACATTTATTCCTCAGTCTTGTAACTACATATCTTTGCTTTTATTTCCTGTTTTGCTGTAGTTACTGAATAATTCATAGTAGTTTCTGAATTATGTGCTTTGAGATGAATAACTGAATGGTAAGTTGGGAATTATTGGATTATTGGATTTAATAGGATGTTTTAGAAACATTTTTTAGATCGGTTTACAACAGGAGTCAACTACAACCTGCATTTGTTTTGTACTGGGGAGGGAAGAAAAGAAGCAGCGGTTGGTACATGGAGAGTCATAAAACTAAACAGGACAAAGCATTATACAGGTATAAATATACAGTGGGGTCCAAAGTCTGAGCCCATGAGTGAAAATGCTTCTATTCTGCATTCTTTTCTATATTAATACAACATTTTTCATTATAAACTATATTATCAGCAATAACTTGAGTGAAAATTAGGATGTTAGAATTTTACAATTTTAGAATTTTTACAATTTACATGATTTTCAGAATTTTTGTCAAAACAACAAACAATAAAACTAACAATAATGAACAGATAATCTGGACAAATAATAAACAAAACAACCACACAATATAAATTAATTAATTAATTAATTAATATATAGGTTAAAGGGGGGTGGGAACAAAAAATTAAAGTCAAAATAATAACAATAAAATAAACAAGCTGTTTCTTACAACAATGAGTAATGGGTCAGTCCAACATACTATTTTTACACTGTATATTGGATACACTTATATATTAAAAAATAGTCACTTATTAGCCCATCAGGGAAGATCCAGGGTGGATAAACTTTCAACATAATCAAAATAAGGATCCCAAACTTTGTGGAATCTCCGTATGGAGCATTATACATCTGATTTTCTCCAGTTTCACAACTCTGAAAACTTCCCAGATCCAAAAGGTGTGAGAAGGAGGTAAAGAGGGTTCCATTTAAGTTCTATTAATCGCCTAGCAAGAAGAGTGACGAAAGATACAAAACCGGATTCTGCAGAAGAAAAGGAGACTGCTAGGAATTACCCCAAACAAGCTAATAATGGCATTGGGCTCAATTGGACTTTCCTATTATACAGTATCTGTTAGTGATTTGAATATCTCTGACCAATATGGAGATTTTCAGAATTTCGTAGTATTTGGTATGTCCCTCTTTTGCTTTAGTGACAGCGTGCATTTGAGCTGGTATGGACTCAACAAGTTTGTGTACCCTGACGATCCTGACGATGTTAGATCAAATCCTTCTGAGTGTTATTTGAACATGTGCTTCGACAGAAGGTATAAGACTCAAGGAAAATCAGACAATTTTTTTTTTTTACACAAAAGAGTTCACATATCACAAATAGTGGCCTAGAAATAATGCAGAATATTAAATATTCATGATATTGAACATTTCCTTTTATTGTTTTAAATCTTTCAAAATTCTAAAACATTGTTTATTTCCAGTTTTAAGCGAAACAAAATTCTCAGTTTTGGACGTCACTATATATATATATATAAATATATATATATATATATATACTGAATTACACATACTGTGTATGTGGAGGTCTGATGGAAAAAAAAAAATCAGGATGGTACACTATCGTACACTATCATTAGTATCTAATGTCTAGTTTTCACAGCGTAAGGCAGAATTATCTGTTGACAGAACCTAGTGTAATGTTGACATATAAAACACATGGCCTTCAATTACAAAAATAGCCACAGGGTGATTAGACTAATGATCCCTACAGATTCACAATCTAAAATCACGTATAAAGAATTTGTCTTGGTGAGCTAGGGGTTGCTAGACTGTTAATTTTTACTAGTTGACCTGAAATTCAAAAACATATAATAGTCAAACAGTCGTATTTTCCATAGTTAAAGCAGAAACTCTTTCTGGACATCACTATTTTTAGGCGGTTTTATTTATTTCAGTTAACAGTCACAGGCTACAAGTTAAATTTCCAGCTTAAATTTTTTTTTTTATCTGAAGTGTTTATGACAAAAGTAAATAAATTGGTCCAAATGTGCAAAACAATAAATCTACATATGTTATACTACTGAAATTCTTAAATTGCACTCGTGCGGATGAGCTGGCATCTCAGCTCAAATTGTTGATTCTGAAACTGAGAACGCGCAGCAAGGAAG